TGCCCGTAACAGCACAAAGGAGATGTGTGGCATCAAGGCTGTACTGGGCTAAGGAAATGACCACGGCTGGTAAAGTAATCATGACAGTGTACTATCGGGTTTGTAACATTAAATATTTACCACCACCAGAAAAGTGCGTTAAGGGAACAGAGTGCATTAAGGGAACAGAGCTACATAGAGATAACATTTGTGTATCTCTCTGGAACTAAGCTAGTTCAATCTGAAACGGATTCTGCTAAATTACAATGCACACGGTAAGACCTAGAGCAACCCCTGGGGGAAAAAATTAAAGGTTTAAAAAAATCAATAAATTAAAACCCTACATTAGAACCAAACAGAAGTGTGAGAAAAACAAAAAGTAAAATGACACGCGAACCCAACTAAGTCACTGACGCGCTAAACAATCCCTCAAAGGGCAGAGACGTCAGACTAGGAAAGCGCAACCACGTGGGTTTTCAGGAGACACACTTTCGGGTCAAAGGTACCCCAGGCGCCGCTCCCACCCCCCGGAGGGCCCCCTCCCCAGGCAGGGGCGCATCCTGCCCCGGGCCCTCGCCCTGGTTCACACCGCCCGCCGGCTACCAGTGCCAGGAACTGGCGCCCCTCCTTGCTCTCCACCCTCCGGGGTGGACCCGTCGTCATGTGCCCGCACTTGGGCTGGCTGACCCCGGGCTCAGGAGCCGGCAGCAGAGGCACGAGAATCCCGGGCTGGGCAGCGTCAGGGCACCAGTGGTCCAGACCAGCTCCGGAGAGGGAGCCCCCCACAATCCCAGGACCTGATCTGGGAGCCCCCTTCCCAGGGGCGTGGCCTCGGAGCTTCCCTAGCCCGGGGGCGTGGTATGGGGGGGAGGGTGCCCTTCCAAGGGCGTGGCCTGAGAGCTCCCTTCGGGGGGTCGAGAGTCAGGCAGAGATGCCCCACCTCCGCCCGAGGCGTCCCGTGGCTCCTCCTCAGCTCCCAGAAAATTGGCGGCGGCACCCCCCACTGCGCCCGGCGCAGCTCCCGCCCGGCCTCCGGCGCCTCACCTTCCGGCTCCTCATGAGTGTGAGCGGCGCGTTGCCGCCCCCAGCCCCGCCGCCAAGCCCCAGCACCGGGCCTAACGCTCTCCAGCAGAGAAGCGACCCGGTCGCTCTCGGCTCGCGCCGCGGCGTCTGACGTCACCAGAATGCTGGCCAATCACAGCCAGGCGTCTCCAGGCATGTGACCCAACAAAGTCGGCGTTTTACGTAGCTGGCGAGTCTCACGGCAGTGTTCTGAGGAAAATCTCCCTTGCGGGCTCTCCGGCCGCCATGTTTGAGCGGGGCGGAGGCCATATTTATGAGGGTCTCCTCCCTTGGTGTCTCTGCGGCCGCCATGTTTAAGAGGGTCTGTGGCCATATTTATGAGGGTCGCCTCCCTTGGTGTCTCTGCGGCCGCCATGTTTAAGCGGGGCGGCGGCCATGTTTATGAGGGGCCCCTCCCTTGACGGCTCTGCGGCCGCTACGTTTAAGCGGGGCGGCAGCCATGTTCGTGAGGGGCCTCCGTGGCAGTCCCCGGCCACGCGCGTGGAGGCTGGCTGGGAGGGCCTGCGCAGCGGTCTCTTCCACCCCGGTCTGGCAGGCGATTTTCCCGGGCACCGGCCTTGGCTTCTGGGCCCCGGGAGCGATGCTGGAGTCCCTGGAGGTGGTCGCGCGAGGCCGTTCCCCGCCCTGGCCGCACTGCCCACCGATGCAGTGCTGGGTGGGCCGGGCCCGGGGCTGCACGGCGAACCCGGCCCGCATGGGAAGGGACGGCGGCATCTCCCGCCGCGAGCCCCGGGGGCGGCCGCCCTCGGGTGGATCCCCCGCGCTGGCCGGCACCTCGTCTCAGGCACGTGCGTCGGCGCCACGGGACCGAGGTCCATGGATGAGGCTAAAGCCCTCCCGGTGCTCGGGGCTCCGGGACCGGGGCCGCAGGGCCCTTTCGGGCCGGGGGACACCAGCCTCCCTGCCCGCGGTGGCCCTCCTCCCGGAACCACCCACTTTTTCATCAGGGACGCAGGGACCACGCGCTCTTCACAAATAAACGACAGCGCTGTTTCCTTTTGTTATTACCGTTTTTTGTTTTTGTTTTTTAACAGATGAGAACGTTGAAATCAGGCAGTTTTGTCAATTACGCTTTAAAATTAAAGTATAAACGTTGAAATATGTACCGCTCGAGGGTCCCTCCGCGCGTGGTTCCCGGGCAGAGGCGTGATTCACCGTCTCTTCCAAAGGCTTCATGGTCTCTGCTCTGACGGAATGACTCCCTCGAAGCCTGCAAATACAGCCTGCAAATACAGTCGATGCCTCTTTTCAGTGCATAAAAAATGTGGGTCCTTCAGGATCCCGCCAGAGCGCTATGCAGACTCTCCTCTCTAGACATGCGTCCTTAGGTAATTAGGGCTGCATGTGAGGTTTTGCTTTTGGCAGTGCGTGAAGACACGTTCAGTCCTAGGGTACACACGCACACACGGACACGTGCATACACACGCACTGCACACAATTGCACACACCCGTGCACGTGCATACATGTGCATGCACAGGCAAACACCAGCACAAGCTCACCTACCTGGCTATCCATCTTCCTTCCCAGTCCCATGCTTTTCACTGGATTGTTCCCCATGGTACACACCTGAAGGAAAAGACAAATGTGGGCTGGCAGGAAATCCTTTTGAAGGGGAAACTAACATAATCACTGTCAACTGTTAAGGAAAAAAGCAAAGTGATATGGGTGTTAAATACCTAACCTGTCCCATTTTCGCTGAAGTCGGTTTCACAATGAGCTGGGTTCAGTGATTTTATTTTGGACTCCTTAAGAGCTTTGAGTTCTCAGTTCTCATTAACTAGGGGCTGATCGCCACAAGCCAGTTTTGGGCTCCATGGTGGTTTATGGTTAATGTCAACTGAGATACACACTGCGCTGCTTGAGCGTGTCCGACTGTGGCCGGATCATCTCAGTGTCATCCCGAGTTTAACGTCCCAAAGGAGCTCTTGATCTCTTGTCACAGATATGCTCTGCTCCCCCCTCACTGCTCTCCTGCCTCCAGTTTACATAAGCGGTATTTACAGCCGCCCAGCTGCCCTGGCCTGGCCCCCAGGGCACGCTCACTGCCCATGTCCCATCAGCGACCATCCCTGGTCCGCCTTCCCCTCTTGCCAGCTCTGCCCTTGGCAGTCAGGGTGGTCGTTGATCAGTGGTGACCCACCCCACTGCTAACGCACTTCAGCGTTTCCTCACCGCTTCTCGGATGGAGAGCAACAGTCCTAATACGACCCGCACAGCCCAGCACAGTGCCTGGCACAGCGGCTACTCAATGAATGATGGTCGAATGAATGCACAGAAAGCCCTGTGAGGTTGCGCACCGCTGCCCCTCGTCCGGACTCATCTGGCCTTGCCACCCCCTGCCCTCCCCCTCTGCTGTGCTCCCCGCTCCCTTCTCAGCCCCCGCCCTGCATGCACTATTCCCTCCGCCTGGAAAACCTGCCCCCCAACCCATTTTGCCTGGCAAGTTCATTCTGCAAATCTCAATGCAGCTTCAATTTCATGTCCCGGTTGTGGGGGGGGTGCATTACCAGATGTTCCCCCAAAACCCCGAAATTCAGCCTGTCAATTGTTTTTTAGCATCCTGTACTCTTCCCCCAGGGCGTGGAGCCAGCTGGCTCTCCTATCCCCTCTCTCCTGGAGCACTGCAAGGCATCCCTTCACTCGCTCACTCCATGTGTCTGCTGAGCTGTCATGGCCGTGCTGAGCTGGGCCTGGGGTCCCAGTGGTGGTGGGCTCATGCCAGTCCTGCCTTTTTAGTGGTTTAGCCCCACAGGGGGGTGGGCGTTGCTGGAATAATCACATGAGGATCAATCCATCTGCATTGGTGGTAAGAGCCACAGGGGAGAAGCCATAGCACCCGGGGTGTCAGACCCACTCAGGGGAATCAGATAAGGCTCCTTGGACAGTGGAAGTGGATCAGAAGTCACCTCTTCTCTCCAGGACCCAAGCCCCTTTCAGGCTCCCCAGGAGGAAGCAGGCAGGAGCCCCTGCCTGGGCAGAAGTTCGCCCCTCCTGATGCAGCGGGAGGTCCTGCCCTGGTGGAGCAGGTGTGCTTGGATTCTCCGCTCTGCACACCTCCCAAGCCACCGTGTCGGGACGCAATCCATCCTGGAGGGCACACAAAGGACATGGAACCAATATCACGCCTCTGCACAACCCTCTGGGTTCCTCGGCACCCTTTGTCTCTCGTTTTCTTCCTGAACGGCTGTACTCTCTACCCTTCTGGGGTTATGGGCCCAGAGAGGGGCGTCCCCATGATGGCCGGACATTGGTTCTCGTTGGCGGTTGGTCCCCCACGTGGATTGAAAGCTCCCTGAAGGCAGGGACTGTGTTCTGCTCAGAGCCCCGTCCCAGAACCCAGCCAAGTGTCTGGGACATGCAGGCAGGGGCTCGGGAAGCACTGATTGAAAGAAGGATGGTGATGATGACACATAGGAAGAAAGTGAAGATCGAAGTTTCTGAGGAAACTTTGTATCCCTCAGAATGCAAAGGTTTCCTTCGTAGCTCACCTCTCCTGCCTGACTCGGCTGGGTAGTCACAGCCCTACAGCCGTGCAGCTGTCTAATTCCTCTCATGAGTCAATCCCGCGCAAATTTGCCAAGGTCCTAGCAGGAGCCAGGCGTCTTCAGGACCCAGAGGTCGACAAGGACGTGCAGGCTCAGAGCCTTGTAGGGCACACGAGAGGCGCACAGAGCTCCTGCGACCCAGAGAAAGCGCAAAGAAGTTCCAAAGGGCCACTGGTGTTGAGCAGGAAACAGTCTCTGTGGAGGGAGGTTGGTCAGGGAAAGCTTTCTGGAGAAGGTGGTGCTGGCCTTGGGCTTTAAACATATGTGAAATGTCAACACCGAGGCGGGGCCGCCCTTCGCAGAATCTCACCAGTGGTTAAACATCAGTGCAGTTTCTATAGGCTGCTTTGCAGGCTAATCAAATAATCTGTGACATCAAAACATTTGAGAACAATAGGTCATTTTCTGCTTCAAATCTCCTACAACCTGCTGGGAAGAGGGGCCAACTGTGGGTCTATTAGACAGGCTCATGTTTCAGCAAATTCACATCAGCAGAAAGACCTGTGTGAGGGTGCTCTCAAGCGCATGGCTGTTCCTACCTCCTCTTTGCCTCCCTGGCAGGAGACTTGGAGGTGGCCTCATTCAGAATTTCTTGATCTTGTTTTTCCTGGTTCACTTGGCTTTCCATTCTGGGTTTCTGTCTTTTATATGCAATTAATCGTGTGTGTGTGTGTGTGTGTTCTAAAAATTCTAACTGTGCTTCTGTTTTTATTGATAGCAACTCCGAATTGTTTTGGGCAGTAGTCAGGATGTAAATGTATACGAAGCAAAATCCTCATAAAGCCTTCACGTTCCAGTGACATCGGACAGGTAGAAATTCACCAGAATCAGCCAGGAATGGTCTCCCGACGCCTTCTGGCTGTACTGTAACTGTCATCATTACCCATTCGTTTCATTCATCAAACATTTATAGAGCTCTGTGTGCGTACTGAGCTTCGTCACTGTAAGAAATATTGCAGCCACATCACACAACTAGGCTGACAGCTGGAAGGGGGGCTCCCTCAAAGGAGGGGCTTGGGATCTGGGGGACCCACAGATGTTTACTCGAAGCCAATGGAGAAATAGTGCCAGGCAGTTGAACTTTGGGAACTGCCGTGGTCCCCGTTTGCCCTGAAAACACAAGGAACACACCCTGCTTGGGTATTAAGGGAACCCCAATCAGAATGGAACTTTCAGGACATCATCCTGGCCTAGAAGCTCTGAGTGGTTGGCAGTGTTGGGACAAAGCTATTCCCTGGGTGGGGACATCGCAGTGATCGTGTGTCCTTTGAATGAAAACCCAGGGATTTGCAGAGCCTGGAAAAGACTAAATTTCCAGTAAGCTGGAGAAAATGTCATTTTAGGAGGACCTTTGGGCTGGCAGCAAGAAAGACCCAAAGAAGAAAAGCTCTATTCTGAGAGCTCCTGGGCCCCGGGCTGGTGGAAATTGGCTT